TTTTCCAGATAGATTCACAAAGCTGTAGCTTTCTGTTATATTTGTTAAATAACTAAAGATGGAGACAAGACGAATAGAGGAATACTGAATAGGTACCTAAATGCTGAAACACACCAAGCTGATGCCATTAGCAAGCAATGAGCTATCAGTCAGCGTTGATCTGCCTAGTTTGTTCAGTTTGTTCTACACGACATCTCTTGTCTAACTCACGAATCAAGTTGGCTGAACTCAACATGGCCCAATTTCTGTAAATAATAGAAAGATATTAGTTTATATTTGTGTAACCCACTGGGTCCTACTGCACACAATCAGGTCTGAGCTGGAATCGAACCGGTGATTCTTTGTATGGGAATCGCCTCTAGCGTCCGTCACTAGAGCAATTTTAGAGGTCAGAGGAGTGAGGTTTTACCTGCCTACCACTTCGCTAGTTGGCCTCTGTTACACTCACCCCTTTAAATCAAACTCCCATCCTGGACAAGCCCCCACGTGTAACCCACCGGTCCAACAGCACCCAACCCGGTCTGAGCTATGACCGAACTGGTGATTCTTTGTGTGGGAGTTGGTTGCTCTAACAAGGAGGCTAAAGACCATGGCTTTTAGCATCTAGAATAGCATTCACTAGAGTGCCTTTAGAGGTCAGAGGAGTGAGGTTTACCTGCAGAGCACTTCACTAGCTGGCCTCCCTTATATTGGGACATGGAGTCCCAATATAAGCAAGAAGTACTGTGAAAATGGTACTTGCATGTGTGCATCATAAGTTTCTGTTTCCCTTTGGGAAAGATAAAACAGATTACTACCACCTGCAGGTACGGAGAGGTACATCTTCTCATCATACCTGCCAACATTTTGGGGGGGAGGGGGGTGATGGAGGAATCGCGAACTGAAGACTGGGGTAGTGGGGGGTCCCAAACTGAAGAGCGGGAGGGGGGGTTGGGAACTAAAGAGTGGGGTCCCTGGTCTGTACTTTTAAGGTTGGCAATCCAGGGACTGTGCCAAAAGGAGTGGGGGGTGGGGTGGGGTGGGGAGAACAAAACGGGAGATGGGTCTGAAATACGGGAGGCACAAAATGCAAGCTCTCGTTTTAGTTTGCTGTCTTTTGTTTGGTGTGTTTATGGGCAGATTTTTGGTCTAGATGTGTCCATAGGCAGCCCATGCAAAGCAGTTGGTTTTCATCTACAGTTTACCTGTACTTTGGCATTGGCTTGGTGTGCCCCAGGCTTCAAGATGAAAATGGGATTGGGCAAAACAGGCATGATACCCCCCTCTTTACCTGTATTTGTGTTCAGTCATCTCTTGTTGGTTTCGTCTTCTCCACAGCGTCCGACATTCAGATGTTGTTTTTTGAAGAAGTGGAGGTGACTCTTGCAAATTCCCTGGCAGTGATGAAGACAAAAGGAGAATGGGAGCTAGTCAATCTGCTTGCTGAAAAACCATTCATACCTCCCGAAGACCTGAACAATACTTTCGACACACTCATTTACTATGTATGAAAACGCATCCGTTTCAGTTGTAGAACTTTGATAAGGGTAGATTGGAATAATCATGCATTTTAAAATGACTATTTAATTTGAAGTAAGTCACATGAATTGCCTTATTTTTTATTCTATCAGATTGCTCTCAGGCGTCGACCCACCATGTACGTGGTGAACCTCCTGATTCCCAGCTGCTTCCTCATTGCTCTAGATCTGTTCAGCTTTCTTCTGCCGCCCCAACATGTGGATCGATCTGCCTTCAAAATGACCCTCATCTTGGGTTACACTGTCTTCCTGCTGCTAATGAACGACATGCTTCCCGTCACAGGAAACACCTTACCTCTCATAAGTTTGTATAGATGCCCTTCACAAAAAATTATGATAATTGCAGACAAACATGAATGAAAAATGACCAACAGTGCATCTTATGCCTTGGAGCCACATTTTGATTATCAGACTGTCTAAGGGTGCTTTCACACTAGTACTTTTGTTCCGCAGACAGGTTTGTTTTTGATTTGAGAGAATGGTACATTTAGCTAGTGTGAATAATGTCTTCTGAACTGTGGTGCACACCCGTGAACTGTACCCGAGTCTGCCTGAAAGAGGTGATCTGGGGTACAGTTCGTGTAAACTCTGGTATGATAGATTTCTGATATGAATGGAATCATACCAAATAACAGAGGTGAGCCATCAACTGTACAACAAACTTTAGTTTACATAACGTTCACTTGTGTATGTCTGTGTATCACCTACCTTGGCAACAAGCAAGATTGACCCATTGCAAACACAGTGATAAAGTTTGCTGCAGACATTGTGTGATGTCATGTGAACATCGTTTATATATTTGCGGCAGATTGACACAAGTGGCTTTCTGTGTTTTGGTTCTGGTAACAGAATCAACAGATTCAGTAAAAGCAGAGCGATTGTGACATGCGTACGTGTATCCATTTTGGTATCTTCGCTTTTGTGGCTGTCACCGAGCAACAGCTGTACACACATCAACAGCTTAATGACGCAAGTGTACCAGGGTTCAGAAGGAAAAAAGACAATGTGAACAACAACCAGACAAGGAGGTGGCAAGGGGGGACAATTAAACTTGGGTTCAGACCATCGAACTACGTGTGAAAGCACACTAAGGCCCCTTTTATACTAATGCGTTTTAGTTTGAAAACGCATACGTTTTGCTACGGTTACGCCAGCCATCCACACTACGCCGGAGTTTTTGAGCGCCGAAAACGGAGCGTTTTGGAAACTCTGGAGAAGCTGTTTTCATTCTTAAAACGCTGCTGCTCCGTCTCAGTGTGGATGAGGGAAAACGGAGACATCTAAAAAACAGAGGCGTGGCTGCTGAGATTCGCTGCCTGATTGGGGCTTTTGTTGATTGCATATCCTCCCCTTACTTGTCAAGCCCCTATCACATGACTATAACTCATGGTTTTAACGCTACTGGAAGACAGCAGACCAGCCTTCAATGTAAACAACATCATGGACACAGAAATGGGAGCGTTGTTTGCACTATTGTCTGTTTTAGGCGCCATTGTGCAGTCATTCATTTGTTACGTTTAGTAACAACTCGAGTTCATCGTCTGTCCACAAAAATACCTCTCTTGCTTTCTTTGCCATCGCGTTCATTGTTCAACCGGCGTTTGTTGACTAACAATAACCAAATGCCGAGCGAGACACATTCTTCCTGTTCATACTAGAACGTGCATGCCCAGAGTGCGCGAATGGTCACGTGATATACGTTTTTGGTGGCGTCGTGTGGACGGAGATATGTTTAGAAACGCTAGTGTGGACGCGGATTGTTTTTGATATAAAACGCCATTTTAAAACTAAAACGCACTAGTGTAAACTGGGCCTAAGAACAGTTCAGGTACACTTACATTTGTATTTCCATTTAAGAATATAGCACCGCATGATTCTTTATAATCCATTCCAGGCACTGTTAGACAACTGTGCTGAGTCTTGCGGAATTGATATGAATAGGACCACAAGATACCAGAGATTCACCCATTTGTAAATTTAGACTCATGCTAGTAAATGATAACACTTCATATTTTGGAAGCAGATAACCAATATAGAAATCAATAAATATACATTTTTATACAAATGTTTCTGAGTACAAAAAAAGTGAACTACTGCAGAAAACTTCTAAATATATCTTTTCCCAAAATCATTTACAAACTGAAATTGTGAATTCCTCTTACAAATAAAAAAAAATGGTTTTGGCCAATACTAATACATCAGCCAATATATTGTTTATTAATACACGGCATACAAATTGCAATGGCTTCACCAACCATCAGATAAAAATTATCATAATGCTTAAGAAAATATTAATTTACCATCAATTCCCATTTTGTCAGCACTTCTAAGCCATCGAATATTTTTGTTGTAACCTTTATCAGAACGTTCCCTGATCTTAGATCAGGGCCGGAGCTAGCTCAACTAGCGCTGACGAAAGTAAATTGGGGGGATGTTTGTTGCGGGCACGAAAGTGAAGTGCTAGAGGGGGTTTCATGGATGGAATTAAAGTGCCAGGAGGGGAGATGTTGTGAAGTGAAGAGCCCTAAGTACTATTGCGCCTAGTTTGCCTCTGGCTTTGCCAGCCATGGACTTTACTGATAACAAACACTCAGCATCCATTTTAGGGTGCTTTTACACTAGCACTTTTGGTCCGTACCCGGGTTCATTTGAAGTCAGAGTATGGTATTTTTAGCTAGTGTAAATGTTGTCTTCTGAACTCGGGTGCGCACCCATGAACCGTACCCAAGTCCACCTAAAAGAGGTCTTGCCAACTGTACAACAAACTTTAGTTATCATAATGTTCATTCATGTGTGTATGTCGCCTACCTTGGCGTCAAGTGGGACTGATCCAGTGCAAACAGTGATAATTTCTGCTTGTCTTCACTAAATACGTGATCGCGTGATGTTCTGAATGTTTTTATATTTTTTTGCAACAGATAGATGCAAGTGGCTCTCTCTATTTTGGTTTTGGTCACAAAATCAAAAGATTCAGTCAAAACAGAACGACTTTTCTTTGTTTTGGCAACTTTGCTTCCATGGCCGACACCTATCGACAGCTGTACACAAAACAGCAGCTTGATGACGCAAGTATACCAGGGTTCAGAAGGAGGTGACAGTGTGAACACAAAACAGCTGAGAAGTGGCAACGGGGGACAATCAAACTTGGGTTCAGTGCAGACAATTGAACAAAGTGTGAAAGCACCCTTATTCCTGTAGTTTTCTTCAATTGTAATTCTACACTGATTTCAAAATACCTTTCTGTTACTCTAACACAGGCATGACCAACCCTGTTCCTGGAGATCGACCTTCCTGCAGATTTCAGTTGCAATCCATTTCAAACACACCTGCCTGTAATTATCAAGTGGTGTTCAGGTCCTAATTAATTGGTTCAGGTGTGTTTGATCAGGGTTGGAGCTGAACTTTGCAGGAAGGTCAATCTCCAGGAATGGGGTTGAGCACCACTGCTCTAACACCACAAACCTTTTTTCTTTTTTCTTTTAGCTTAATTGTTTTTAGGGCTACAAATCCTGTGTGAACACTTTCATTTTTGTTTCAGACTAAACAAATCTATAGAACTGAACTGCACCCTTAAAGCACAATTTTCGTCTATTGCAAAATATTGCCACCATTTGCTGGATAATTACAATAGTATGCCTAATTCAAATTGATCTAATTTCTTTGCAGATGTGTTTTTCTCTCTATGCTTTGCACTGATGGTGGCCAGTCTTCTGGAGACCATTTTTATCATAAATATTCTGTGTGGCTCCGTTAACTATGGACCATTGCCCCGATGGGTCAAGGTGCTCTTCCTCAACTACCTTGCCAAAGTAGTTTTCTTAAGCAAAAAACCCAGTGAGGAAAAATGTAATACTGAAGGTAAGTTTTACCGTGCACAATTGAGTAAATCTTTGTAGTTTTTGATAATTAATTTAAAAAACTATGCCAATTTATGCAAGATCCGTCAAGGCAGTTATTTGAGCATTAATACCTTAAAGGGTTAATAATACTCATCATCATGTTGGTCCAATACCTTGAGACCTTTATTCATCTTCACAACTCAAATTAAGGGTGCTTTCACATCTGTAGTTTGCTTCATTTGGTCTGGACCAAGCGCAATAAATGATACATTGTTGCATCTTCTGCCGTCTTTGGGTCGTTTTCACACCACACTGCTGGCTTTGGTCCGAACCAGTTGAAACAAATCAAAATGCAGTCATCTGACAAAATGCGCTGGCTGATTGTATCCCTGCTTTAGACAAACTATACATTACGAAAATGAAGCGCGGCCACGGCTGGAAAACAGTGTTTAATGCATGGCTCGTCACTTCAGGAGGAGGCGTGAATTAATTTAGCTAAACTGCGACATGTTCATCTTGCGGAAATATTACCAACGATCCATCAGGTAATGTTTTCCCATCTCTCTCTGTTGGTAAAGCGCTGACAAATATTTTTCCTCCATATCCCATAATGCACAGCGCATCGGCCTACGGCAGCTGAATTAGTCCAAAAGGCGCAGTACTTTTTGCGGTTGGATCTGTTTTAGTACGAATCATATTCTCACCACAAACGAACCGCTCCAAGGTTTGTTTGAAAGCGTACCGAGACCACCTCTTCAAGCAGGTCTCGGTACGCTTATTTGGCCCGCTTTTGGTGCGCCCTCGAGTACGATTGCTGCATTCTCACCTGCCCAAACGAAACGCACCAAAAGGGAAAACTAACTCCAGTGCGATTCAATCGAACTAAATAAGGCACCCTAAGATAGTTTAGATGAAATCCAGGAGCTCTCTCATCATCCATAGACAGCAATGGTCCATAAAAAAAAAAACGTTGGTAAAACATTGACTTTATTGGTTCAATTGTAATCATACAAAGCTCCAGGAACACTTTTGTTTACCAAAAAAAAAAAAAAAACTTTCAAAAACAACTTTGTCAGACAAAGTGGTTTATTTATAAATTAATTTTGAGAGGAACACGTGCTTATGATTGCTAGCGGCTGGATCCGCATTGTCCAATTCTCAATGGACCAATTAGACGACTCCTAAGCTACTACAAATACCCTGGGTTACGTCACACCTCTATCTTCGTTTTAAAGAATCCCCCCTTCCACCCCTACTCCTCCTTCTTCCTAGATTGGTGACACGGTGTCTCAGTGCTTTGCTCTGTTGCCTCACAGCCAGAACGTCTCTGGTTCCAGGCTTTACTAAACAAGCAGATGTTTCTGTACTGAGTTTGCACTCTCTCCCCGTCCTCACAAAGGTTTCCCCTCACTATGTTTATTAGTTACTACAGCAGGGGAGTTCTCGAGATCAAACTCCCCTCTCACCTTGCAACGGGAGGGAGCCCCGGGAACCCTCGAGGATCTTATGAGCTCAGGGCTCTCTCCCGGGACAGCATGCCAAAGTAGCTTATAATTAATCATCGGACGAAAGTGAAGACCACCGCTGACTCTAATGATATTGCATTGTACTATTTGTAGTAAGCATTCACCATGGCCTGACACCTAAGTTATAGGCATATATAAGTTAATTAAAAAAAAAACATTTTTGGCACACAAAAGTGTTCTTGGAGCTTCGCACGATGCCAGTTAAACCAACGAAGTAACATAGACTGTTTTAACAATGTTTTTGGTTCCTTTTCTGGACTTTGAATTACCGTCTATGGAGAATGAAAGAGCTCCAGGATTTCATCTAAAATAACTTAATCTGTGTTCTGGAGATGAACGAAGATCTCAAGGTATTGGAATAACATAAGGGCGAGTAATTAATAACATAATTTTCTTTTTTGAGTAAACTAATCCTTTAACCCTTGTGTATTGTTCAAATTGACTGCCCTTTCATTATATTTGGGGCTATTTTTGCCCCATTGACTTCCATTATAATGACATTTTTGGAAATCAATGGGGCAAAAACAGCCCCCAACATAACGAAAGGGTCAACTTGCCCATAAATTATTTATGAATATTTTTAAAGTATCTCCCTAAAATGTACATCAAAATAAGATTTGTCAGCAAAAATCATTCCATTTGCTTAAACTGGGAAAAAGTTGTGGCCAAATTAAGACTCAAGATTCCCAGGGTGGAAAACATCCCTAACAGCACACGAGGGTTAATTGAAGTTACTGTGTAAAGACGAAATGAATATAACACCTTTTTAATCTGTAGAGCTCAGATCCGAACCCAGACCATGTTACTCGGTGGCTGAAACCCTTCAAGGCGAAGATCTCCTCAAGACCTCTCCCGCTCTTCAAGAACTAAGGAGGATTAGAAACGAGTTACTGTCCATCCGCCAGCAGGTCGATAAACATTTGAAAGCTGATGAGATCGTGGACGAGTGGGAACTGCTGGGTCAAGTCATTGACCGCCTCCTCTTCAGCTTCTATGTTGTCTTTCTCTCAGTCAGTTTCTTCACCATTGTAGTCTACTGGATTCACTGGTACCAAAAAACTGCATCCTTGATATAAACAAACATTTACATGCAAATTAGCGCCGGTGAGTGTTCAGGAAAAGAAATAGCCTGTAATATTGAAGATTTAATGTAATAGTGATTCATTAGGGAACATTTTGTGGTGTTATATTATACTGTATATGATGATGCCATTTTACATAAATGTATCTTATTTAGAGAGTGTGTGTATATACAGTTAGGTCCATAAATATTTGGACATCCACACAATTCTAGGATTTTTGGCTCTGTACACTAACACAATAAATTTTAAATTAAATGAATAAGATGTGTTTTAACTGCAGACTGTCAGCTTCAATTTGAAGGTATTTACATCCAAATCAGGTGAACGCTGTAAGAATTACAACAGTTTGCATATGTGCCTCCCACTTGTTAAGGGACCAAAAGTAATTGGACAATTGGCTTCTAAGCTGTTCCATGGCTGTATGTGTGTTATTCCCTCATTATCGCAATTACAATGAGCAGATATAGGTCCAGAGTTCAATTCAAGTGTGCTATTTGCTTTTGGAATCTGCTACTGTCAACTCTCAAGATGAGATCCAAAGAGCTGTCACTATCAGTTAAGCAAGCCGTCATTAGGCAGAAAAATCAAGACAAACCCATCAGAGAGATAGCAAAGAGATCAGCCGTGGCCAAAACAACTGTGGAGTATTCTTAAAACGAAAGAGCGCACCAGTGAGCTCAGCAACACCTAAAGACCTGGAAGACCACGGACACAAATGTGGTGGACGACTGAAGAATTCTTTCCCAGGTGAAGAAAATTCCCATCACAACAGTTGGCCAGATCAAGAACACTCTCCGGGAGAAAGGTGTATGTGTGTCAGAGTCAACAATCAAGAGAAGACTACACCAGAGTGAATACAGAGAGTTCACCACAAGATGTAAACCATTGGTGAGCCTCAAAAACAGGAAGGCCAGACTAGAGTCCTAGAAACGCCTTCACAGTGCTGGAACAACGTCCTAAGAACAGATGAGATCAAGATCAACCAGCACCAGTGTGATGGGAAGAGAAGAGTATGGGAAAGGAACTGCTCATGATCCTAAGCAGTGAAGCATGGTGGTAGTAGTGACATGGCGTGGGCATGTATGGCTGTCAATGGAACTGGTTCTCCTGTATTAATTGATGATGTGACGGCCGACAAAAGCAGCAGGATGAATTCTGAGTGTTTCAGGCGATATTTTCTGCTCATATTCAGCCAAATACATCAGAACTCATTGGACGGCGCTTCACAGTGCAGACGAAGAATGACCCAAAGCATACTGAAAAGCAACCAAAGAGTTTTTAAAGGGAAATAAGTGGAATGGTATGCAATGGCCAAGTCAGTCACCTGATCTGAATCCAGCTGAGCTCAAATGAAGATAGACGGAATTCTGGAGCTCTCTCATCATCCAAAATGTCCATGTGACTTCATTGGTATAATCATACAAAGCTCCAAGAACGCTTTTGTGCACCAAAATAGAACTGTAAAAACAGCATATATACAGTTTAATTCAGAATTATTACCCCCCCCCCCTGATTATTTTTCCCCAATTTCTGTTTAACGAACAGAAGATTTTCAACACATTTCTAAACATAATAATACATAAACATAAAACATAATAACTCTCTTTAATAACATATATTTTTAGAACTGATTTATTTTATCTTTGCTGTGATAACAGTAAATAATATTTGACTAGATATTTTTAAAGACACTTCTGTCCAGCTAGGTTAATTAGGTTAACTAGGCAGGTTAGGGTAATTAGGCAAGTTATTGTATAACGATGTTTTTTCTGTAGACTATCGAAAAAAATTATAGCTTAAAGTGGCTAATAATTAAAATTTAAATTTAAAACTGCGTTTACTCTAGCCGAAATAAAACAAAGAAGACTTTCTCCAGAAAAAAATATGATCAGACACGCTGTGAAAATTACCTTGCTCTGTTTAACATAATTAAGGAAAAATTTTAAAAAGAAAAATTTTCTTTTTTGCTGATTCCCTTCAAACCCAGGTGAGCAAATATGTACATTTTCTACCCTATTAAAGGCTTTTTTCTCGTTATGTAGTTAATAACAAAAGATATACTGTGTGTTTTACGCTGTAAGACGTAGTTTGGACTAAGTTGTTGGCGATTCTTCCTGTTGTAAAGTCATGCAATGTGAAAGCCCCTGTCGCCGATCTATCTTGCAGTGTAAACAAAGCAGCGACAAAACCCTAGCCCAGATAATCATGCAGTGTGAAAACACTGGTGACACGAATACTTCAAAAATCATGCAGTCTGAACTCGGCATAAGAGTTCATGTGTATATAACAGCTACCTTGATTACTTATTAGTACATGTTGTTAATTTATTAATTAACACTTAGGTTTAAGGTAAATATAGCCAACATGAACTCATGACCCAATAATGTAATTATGCCATGACTTTACTTGAAGGGGCACTTCATTATTAACTCCTTCTTAACTACTCATGAACTCCTGTGTTTAATCTGTTCATGTTGACTAAACACTTTTCTGTTATTCAGTGTAAACGCACTGGACGGACGTACATAAGGAGTTTATGAGTAGTTAAGAATGGGTTAATGATGATGCGCCCCTCCAAGTAAAGTCATGATATAATTATACATTAACAGCTCATGAGTTTATGATGGTTCAATTAAGGAGAAACTAATGTGGTAATTAATACTCTAATTAACAAACAATGATGTACTAACAAGTAATTAAGGATCTCACAGCTCCAATAGCCACCACAATGTGTTCATTGAGTTTCATCCTTTAAGGCCAGATTTATCTTATAAGACTTATATGATCTGTTTCTTCATTCTGATGCTCAGTTTGAACTTTAGCAGGTCATCTTGACCACTTCTACATGCAGTGATTGACTGATTGTATATTTCTGTCAGGATCACTTTCATCAAATATATATAGTTATATTGCCAACCTAGGCTCATTGTGGATATGTACCCCTATATACATTTCTGGAGAGCACGAAATACATCCCAGTAGGTACGGTTTCTTGCTGTTTTTGTTTTCGCAAAGCCACAAGAGCTTGCTGTGATTGCTTTTTTAGATCTCAAATTTGTCTCACAAGTGCCATTCACGCGGGAAACTCCTCCCTGCCTCCCAAGTCTGCTAATGTACGCAGTGAGCCACTGGGCAAACTGGTAACAGCAAAAAAGCTGTCCACACGGAGGTAAGGTAGCACGAAAAGGAACAAAAGCTATCTGTGGCGTCATACCGTCCCATAGCATTTATTTAAAGACAAAATACAGCCGTACGAAACTCTGGCTACCTAATTCACGCTCTCCAGAAGTGTATACAGGGGTATGTATCCACAATAAGCCTGTGTTAAATACTGCACATGCAGTTATTGTTGGCAGGATGGTTCTGTTCTTCGCAGAACTCTACACACCTGCCATGTACAGCAGGGAAATCAGCAGTAAGTCAACCACCCCAGAACAGAACCCATTGATTATGAGTTCCTGTAAATGATAGAGACATGAGGCTGATTACTATGTACATGGCTAATACTTTGGGGATGGTGGAGGGAGTGTAGAGTTGGCGAACAGGCAAATAAAAAAGTAATTAAATACATTTAAATATACTAATGTGAAAGATATCAGAACTGGATTGGTCAATGCTATCTCATGCCAAGTCATAACTTTATAATTTAGTGGCTTATTCGCATGAATTTGTATGATCTCATTTAGTATGATATGCTTATCCCCCAATGACGGTTAGGCTTTGGTGCCACGCCTCCTTTTAAAGATTGAACATTTTCATACAACTGAACTAATTCTTACGAATTAGCCACTAAACTGATCAAAAGTGAATTACTTACGTTTCCTCGTGAGATCGGGCTTCATTGGTACACGTCATGTGCCAAAATGACTGCTGATGTGTCCATCTGAACTAACAATATGCTTCATATTTACATTAATGCACAGTTAACAGATAGATAGATAGATAGATAGATAGATAGATAGATAGATAGATAGATAGATAGATAGATAGATAGATAGATAGATAGATAGATAGATAGATAAAGATTCAATATGGATGGATGGATGGATGGATGGATGGATGGATGGATGGATGAATGGATGGATAGATGGATAGTCAAGATAGATGGACGGACTGACAGATGGACAGACAGACAGATAGATAGAGATTCCATATAGATACATGGATATTCAAAATGGATGGATGGAGGGATAGATAGATAGATAGATAGATAGATAGATAGATAGATAGATAGATAGATAGATAGATAGATAGATAGATAGATAGATAGATAGATAGATAGATAGATAGATAGATAGATAGATAGATAAAGGATGGAGGGATGGATGGCTAAACAGATATACGGACGGACAGACAGACAGACAGACAGACAGACAGACAGACAGACAGACAGACAGACAGATAGATAGATAGATAGATAGATAGATAGATAGATAGATAGATAGATAGATAGATAGATAGATAGATAGATAGATAGATAGATAGATAGACAGATAAAGGATGGAGGGATGGATGGCTAAACAGATATACAGACGGACGGACAGACAGACATAGATAGATAGATAGATAGATAAATAGATAGATAGATAGATAGATAGATAGATAGATAGATAGATAGATAGATAGATAGACAGATAAAGGATGGAGGGATGGATGGCTAAACAGATATACGGACGGACAGACAGACAGACAGACAGACAGACAGACAGACAGACAGACAGACAGACAGATAGATAGATAGATAGATAGATAGATAGATAGATAGATAGATAGATAGATAGATAGATAGATAGATAGATAGATAGATAGATAGACAGACAGATAAAGGATGGAGGGATGGATGGCTAAACAGATATACAGACGGATGGACAGACAGACATAGATAGATAGATAGATAGATAGATAGATAGATAGATAGATAGATAGATAGATAGATAGATAGATAGATAGATAGATAAAGGATGGAGGGATGGATGGCTAAACAGATATACGGACGGACAGACAGACAGACAGACAGACAGACAGACAGATAGATAGATAGATAGATAGATAGATAGATAGATAGATAGATAGATAGATAGATAGATAGATAGATAGATAGATAGATAGATAGATAGATAGATAGATAGACAGATAAAGGATGGAGGGATGGATGGCT